CCTTTATTACTTCTCCCTTTCATGCCCATTTGTGTTGCATAATAATATTCCACTCTATGGATTCAATAGCTTCTAAAAGTATATAAAGATAACTAAGTGTGACATTAACGATTTTAATTATTTTCTGTGAAAATTATATTTTTGCACTTTGTTTATGTACAGACATGGTGCTAAAGTTTTATCACAAATTTCAGAGAAATGACAAATGATACAGAAGTTCAAGAGGAATTTTGACGACCATGAAAACATTGTGACTTCATCGTACTACTACCCAAGAGATTATGAAACAATTGCTCTAAGACAATCTGCCTGTTTGAGATATTACAATATTTTTATACTTGAGATGTACATTAACTGACCTCCTGCAATTTTGTGTCCCTATTCCAAATAGGTCCTACACAGAAGGTCAATAGTCAGTTCTTTTACAAAGAAATAAATGGAGTTACTTTCACTCAACTTTCATTAAGTTCCAATTGTAAAATTGCTGTTAATTACAATGCTAGGTATCCCCTAACTGGTAAACTTGAAAAACTAGGGACATAACCCCTTTTATTAGTTTCAGATATGTTTTTTCATCCATGAGCATGAGACATGGTGTATATACCTTTCCCGCAAAAATAAATGGTGGATATACCAGTTCGAAAAGATGTAAGCTGAAATAATCAGATCTGATATTGGACCCTATTTCGGACAATTGGTAGTATATACTAGGTAATTCCCTACGCTTTGCTGCGGAAATTCCTATGTAACTTTTAATATTTTTTTAATAATCAAGCTAAAAGTAAAAATTATATTAGTTATTAACAACAAATAAAATTGGTTTCTCAAACTATGTTTAGAGAGAAATACATTTAGTAGACTCTATATGAGATTGTAGATGAAATATGATATCCCGTACTTTGATTATATGGATGAATATATGTTAAGTATTATAAAAATGATATGGATATTTATATGTTAAAAATATTGTGAAGGAAGATGATTGGACGTTGATTTGTAGAATTTAATGAATTATAGATAATGTTGCATGCTTGCATAAGTTTTGTATATGCAATTTTTGCTAGTGGATGATGAGGTGACATGTTTGCATGTTGAGCTCTAGGATCAGTGGGTTATAACTTTATACTAAGATAGGATAGGATAGGTCAGCAAAAGTGAGGTTAGGAAGAATTTATTATGAACTAATCAGACGAAACTGTAAAATGCAAAATGGACTACCACAACTTAATATAAATTGTTTTAGAATAGCATGTAGACAATTTTTTTTACATAGAACTCTCAATATGCATCACTTTCTTATTGAGTTGACGTTGCCAAGTGAACACTGGTTGTACACAATTTATCTCTTTATGACTAAATTATTGATACTGTCAGCTTTCAAGTTCAAGATTTCAGCATCATTGGAATAATTCATGTGTTAGTCTGTCACAGATATATTTTCTGATAGAGACTGTATCTTCAAAACTAAATTATAGTTATTTAAAAGAGTAAAGTCTATCACCGGTCCCTAAATTTGTACCGCTGTGTCATCCCGGTCCCTAAACTCGCAAATCGACCGTTCAGGTCCTCAAAATTGTTCGATTGTGTCATCCCGGTCCCTAAACTTGTAGATCACTCCTTTAGTTTCTCCAACTTGTTTAGTTGTGTCACCCCGGTCCTTAAACAGGACAATCTAAAAACTTTATATCAAAAAATAATTCATAACTTTTTCATGTGAAATCTAATGAAGACAAACTTTATATCAAAATTGTATCCCTCGACACGACCTACAACTTTGTAGTTGAAAAGTTTTTGAATTAAAACTGTTTATGGTCCCAAAATATTGTTGCATGTTTATAGATTTTGAAATTTTAATTTTAAAATTATATTTTGGGACAAAAAATGACTTAAAATAAAAAAAATCAACTACAAAGTTGTAGATCGTGTCGAGGGCTACAAGTTTGATATAAAGTTTGTCTTCATTAGAGTTCACATGAAAAAGTTATGAATTATTTTTAAATATAAAGTCTTTAGACCGTCCTATTTAACCCAGATAATATTCAAATCCAAGTCTAGGGACCGGGGTGACACAACTGAGCAAGTTAGAGGACATAAACGAGTGATCTGTAAGTTTAGGGACTTGGATGACACAGTCGAACAAGTTTGAGGACCTGAACGGTCGATTTGTGAGTTTAGGGACCGGGATGACACAGCGGTACAAGTTTAGGGACCGATGATGGACTTTACTCTATTGAAAAAGTATCATTTGAAGGCATAGTTTATGCTTAATTATCCATTTTAAAGATGTAATATTAAGAGATTGATAAGTGTAAGCCTCAAACTGTAAGTTCTTTTCTTTTTTTTTTTGGAATTGTTAGCTTCAGATATATTACATTTGAAAGATATGTAAACTTCTGTTTGTTTAGTAGTTGTTCAGTTCAACATAGAGGACCGATATTAAGACTCCTTTCCACAACAACTATATGTTTCTTTTGCATTAGAATATTGAAATTACATTCTGAACAGTTGTTTATTGGTGAAAAAGAAAAAAAGACACACCAATGTTTAAAAATTTCAATTGAATAATAGGATGCAATGTGAGGCATGTAGATTAACAAGTCCTACGTATGTGTAAGGCAATCTATGTTATTTGTTAATTTATATACACCCACTATTTTAAAAATATAGGGTGTATTTTGTTTTGTTAGGACAAGTCCTTCACTAACGGTTCATTCCTTAATATATTATTTATGTGACACAAAAGTATAATCATAAGAAAATACTTTTGAGGAAAAATATGATAACATAAATTTTAATTAATAGAAATCTATCTATCTATCTATTATATATAAAAAGTCCATTAAACTTTCTACAAACGCTCTCAAGCTGCCACAGGGATTTCTATAAACGCTCATAAGCCGCCACGTGGCAATCTAATAAATTAGAAAGATTCTAAATATTCTGAAAAATAATATCAACGGTTGATTTTCCCTTAACTGGTGGGCCCACTAATTAAATTGTTTAGATCTATTATGTTTAGAAATAGTTGCACGTATGTACTCCCTCCCCTCCCGTGTCTTCTCTTTCTTTTAAGCTAACCTCCTATTTTCTAGCTAACAATTAATATAAAAATAATTAAATTAGTATTTCTTAATAATTGCATATATAAAAAAATTTAAAAGAAATATATGGTACATGGATGCATATTATAACACTGTACATGCCAAAAACCGATGTGCAAATATTAGAGAACAATTTAATATGTTAGCATTATCCTATCATACAATTCTTCTGTTCCAAAACTATAAGTATAAAATATAAGCATATTTAAAATAGTGACATGTCAAACATGTTAAACTTAATCAACATTACTACATACATACTCTAAAAAATCGTAGCACCAACGAGTACATTGCACACATGTAACACTATAATCAACAAATCCCCAATTTCAACGTTCAAATTCATAAATTTGGGGGGGGGGGGGCGAAATGGGTTATAAGATTACCCTTCGATCTACAAATTTCACTGATTAAAACGAAAAAAAGAGGGGGCAATTTTGTAGATAATGGAATAAATCCTGGTCTTTACTTCAAAGAAGCTACAGGCACTTATTACAATAATCTCATAAAAAGAACAAGCATTCAGGCAAATACATAAAGAGTGACTAAAAACCAACACAAAGGACAAAACAATTATTGAAGTCTATTTGAGAGGGGGGAATGGAGGAGTATATCTTGCTCTTCAATGTCTTCAAAAGTTCCCGCAAAAAATGGCTCCAAAACGAGTCGATTTGAGAAGGAGGAAGTGAGTCGATTTGAGAAGGAGGAAGTAAGAGGGGAGAGAGAGCAAGAGGTATTCTTGGGCTCGGGCATGAGAGAAGGGGGTGAATGTGTGGGGAGGGGGAGGGGGAGGGGGAGGGGGAAGGGGTGGGGCCCACGGGTTAAGTGCTAGCCCCACCCCGGAGGAGCATGCAAGAGGCACTAGCGCATTGGGGTGGTGGGGGGTTGGCGCCAGTATGGCAGGTGGAGCCCTATTGGATGACAACACCAGCCACTCTGGCACACAAAAAATGATTATTTCTGGAATAAGTTTTTTAAGGGATGTATTTGTAAATTAAGTTTTTGGAAGGACCAAATTGTAAAAAAAATCCAGGATCTCAAACACCGTACCAAAATCCAAATATACTTATACTTTAGAGAGTGAGTATTGATCTATAAATATCTAACAAATAGCTTAAAAATAATCAATGTCGATAAAGAATATTTTTCAAAAAAAATGTACGATTATTAAAGGTACAATTTTCGATAGATAACACCATTGAATTTTCGGTACACGTTCGACAATTTATTTAAATTAAAAATAAATAATTATTATTTATTTTGTTGTGACTTGGTTTATAACTTTATTAAGCATAACTTACATTTCCACATGTTTGCATAAAAACGTTAAATAAGACAAATGGTCAAACACGTGTAAAAAACATACTTACCCACGCGAATGTGCGGGTTACCTTATTAGTTTTATTATAAAAAATAATTGTTGGTCAAAGTACCTAACAAAACATAATAGGCCTTATATTTTGAAACAAACTGAGCAATAATTAGCTATACACCCTTTTCATTCGGAAATTCTTGCAGTCAGAATTTTTGAAATCCTTAGCATGCACACATTCTTCCATGCTGCATTAATTGTATTATGATGGAATCCGTGTCTATGCGGAGGTTACATGATGATCAATTTGAGAAATTTTGAATTCTATCATATGATGATCAATTTGGGAAGGAGGGAATAATTTTTTTCTGGATTGCTGCAGCAATGTAGTGGGGGAATCGTCTAGTTTATTTATTTCCATTGACCATCATTAAATGAGTTAAGAATAGGAAATTTACAAAATAAAAGGTGTCACCATAAAAGTGTCTTTCATGAGTGGGATATGGTCCCCCTGTTACTACTACTTGTTCTACCTAGTGAGTATAACTCTGTTCCACTGGTGCAGACTTCTACACCACCATATGTCTATATATGCTGACTTGGTTTTTGCTCCCAAGTGTTATCACCAGACTGCAACCTCTCAACCTCCTTACTCTAACCATGGCAATCAAGAGGACATGGCAACTTTGGTTGCTCTCTCTTCTCACACATGCCATCCTATTGTTCACAGCCAGCTCTCAGTCCATCAATGGAGATGACCTCTCAGCACTCCTGTCATTCAAATCCCTCATAAGGAACGACCCAAGAGAGGTGCTGTCCTCGTGGGACACCAGCAGCAACACTACCAACATGACAGCACCTGTCTTCTGCCGATGGACCGGCATTTCCTGCAACGATCGCCGGCATCCAGGTCGTGTTACCACCCTCAATCTGAGCGATGCCGGCCTAGTCGGCACCATATCCCAGCAGCTTGGAAACCTGACCCACCTCCGTGTCCTTGATCTGTCAACCAACAGTCTTGATGGAGATATCCCAATCAGCCTTGGCGGTTGCCCAAAGCTTCATGCCATGAACTTGAGCATGAACCATCTGTCAGGTAACATCCCTGCTGATCTTGGACAGTTATCAAAGCTTGTGGTTTTCAGTGTCGGCCACAACAATCTTACCGGTGATATTCCCCAAGTCACTCTCCAACGTCAAGAGGAACTTCATCCATGGCCAAGATTTGAGTTGGATGGGCAACCTCACATCATTGAGAGACTTTATTCTTGAAGGCAACATTTTCACTGGTAACATCCCTGAAACTTTTGGTAAGATACTTAACCTTACTTACTTCAGTGTCCAAAATAATCAATTGGAAGGCCATGTTCCTCTATCAATCTTCAATATTTCTTCCATAAGAATCTTGGATCTTGGCTTCAATAGACTGTCAGGATCACATCCACTCGATATCGGCATTAAACTTCCTAGGATAAGTCGTTTTAACACAATTAATAACCGTTTCGAGGGTATAATACCACCCACCTTGTCAAATGCATCTGCACTTGAAGTATTGCTTCTTCATGGAAACAACTACCATGGCATTATTCCTAGGGAAATTGGCATCCATGGTAACCTGAAGGTATTTGTGTTAGGATACAACGCGCTCCAAGCCACACGATCTAGTGATTGGGAATTTATGACATCACTGACCAACTGTAGCAGCTTAACAAGGCTAGATGTTGCACACAAAAACCTCGTTGGTGAAATGCCAATTAACATTGCCAACCTGAGCAAAGAGCTCATAGGGATTTACCTAAGTGAAAACCAAATAACTGGGACCATACCTGAAGATTTATGGAAGCTCAATAAACTTACTTCTCTCAACCTGTCCTGCAACCTCTTCACAGGAACCTTACCTCCTGATATTGGCCGCCTTCCAATAATCAATTCTATCTTTATGTCACATAATAGAATCACTGGGCAGATTCCACAACCATTAGGCAATATCTCACAGTTGATCTTTCTATCTCTGTCTAATAATCTTCTGGATGGCAGCATTCCAATTAGCCTTGGGAACCTCACAAAACTTAATCTCTTGGATCTTTCCAGTAATGCCTTGATGGGCCAAATCCCACAAGAGATACTTACAATACCTTCCCTTACCTTACTTCTCAGCCTCTCCAACAATGCTCTAAGTGGCTCCATTCCAACACAGATTGGGCACTTGAACAACCTCATCAAAATGGACCTCTCAATGAATAAGCTATCTGGTGAAATCCCAAAAGCTATTGGCAGCTGTGTCCAATTGAGTTTCCTAAATTTTTATAGAAACCTTCTCCAAGGACAAATCCCAGAAAGCCTGAACAATTTGAGGAGCCTTGAAACCCTTGATCTGTCTAACAACAACTTGGCAGGTCCTGTACCTTTATTTCTTGCAAACTTCACGCTCCTAACTAATCTAAACCTCTCCTTCAACAAACTGTCAGGTCCTGTTCCAAATATAGGGATTTTTTGTAATGCCACTATAGTGTCAATCTCAGGTAATAGAATGCTATGAGGTGGCCCTCCATACTTGCAGTTCCCTTCATGCTCATCTGAAGATTCTAACCATGCTTCAGTGCATCGACTACATGTCTTAATCTTTTGCATTGCTGGAACGTTGATTTTCTCTTTGTTTTGTATGACTGCATATTGCTTCATTAAGACAAGGATGAAACCTAACATCGTTGATAATGAAAACCCATTTCTTTATGAGACGAATGAGAGGATATCTTATGCCGAACTACAAGCAGCAACCGAGTCATTCTCACCGGCAAATTTGATTGGTTCTGGAAGCTTCGGCAATGTATACATTGGAAATCTAATTATTGATCAGAATCTAGTGCCTGTTGCAATCAAAGTTCTTAATCTTGACCAAAGAGGAGCCAGCAGAAGTTTCCTGAGCGAGTGTGATGCTCTTAGGAGAATTCGACACCGGAAACTTGTCAAGGTGATCACTGTCTGCAGTGGCTTAGACCAAAATGGTGATGAATTCAAGGCACTTGTCCTAGAATTCATTTGCAATGGAAGTTTGGATGAGTGGCTGCATGCAACAAGTACAACAACCAGCACAAGCTACAGAAAGCTAAATATGGTGGAAAGGCTGCATATTGCTGTTGATGTTGCAGAGGCATTGGAATATCTTCACCATCATATTGTGCCGCCGATAGTTCACTGTGATATTAAACCAGGCAACATTCTTCTAGATGACGACATGGTGGCACATGTTACCGACTTTGGTCTAGCAAAGATAATGCATTCTGAACCACGCATACAAAGCAGCTCATTAGTAATTAAAGGAACAATTGGATATGTCCCACCAGGTAAATGATTATTATTTAACTAAACTATGGCCACAGTGAAAATTCTTTCCACTCTAAATTGTACTAGTTTCATAAAAATGATAGTATGGTATTTTAATGTGACCTAAAGATGCTAAAAGAATTAAAATGTGATACTGATCTTCTATTTGACTGAAAAATTGTAGTGTGAAATCCACCTTTTATCCCTACTTATTAGTAGCAACTAAAACATTCATTTATATACACAGAATATGGAGCGGGATCTCAAGTATCCATGGATGGTGACATATATAGCTACGGGGTGTTGTTACTGGAAATATTTACTGGAAGAAGACCAACTGACAATTTTATCAATGGTATAACAAGTCTTGTTGACTATGTTAAGATGGCCTATCCTAACAATCTACTGGAAATATTGGATGCTAGCGCAACCTACAATGGAAACACTCAAGAATTGGTAGAACTAGTTATTTATCCTATATTTCGACTTGGTCTAGGATGCTGCAAGGAATCACCAAGGGAAAGAATGAAGATGGATGATGTAGTCAAAGAATTGATTGCTATAAAGAAGGCATGCACAGCTATGCCTAAATGAAATTCGAGCAACCAAGTAATCTGGGTAAGCAATTATATGTAACTAAATTTGGTTATGTCTGCTCAAAAAGTTGTCACAGAAGTATGCTTTTGGTGTATCTGAAGTCCATTATATTGTTGTCACTACTGTTTATTTCATTTTCATCTTGTATTTCTTTGTATCCCTTTTGTTTCTGTATTTTGGGGGTGCTATCTATATATGGTTTTAAAGAGTAAACTCCATGAATTTGAGCCACTGTTTAACGTAGGCCCCGGAACTTGCATTTTACTTTCTCAGTCCCCTGAACCTGTCCTGGTTTGCAGCTTTGCAATCTTCAGTTGTTTACGATGAAAAATCACATCATTATTAGGATAATAATAGGACAATAAATAACATTACAAATCTTACCGTTTAATCCATATAAAAATGGGTTTCTCAAAAAATAATCCATATAAAAAATGTTATGTAGGGGCTACTTGGAAGATTAGTAATAATGTTTCAGCTGTAAATCTTTTACGACTGTAATCATTGGGCAAAAAAAATACAACCATATTTTATTACCCAAGAAAAAAAATGTTTGGGTGCAATGAAGACAAACCAAAGCAGAGAAGAAGATAGCTAAGCTGGCCTAGGCTTCACCCAGGCCTGAAGACGACGATGTGCATTTTCAAACTATGCATGGATATAATCATAAGATCCATTCGTTGTTATATACACCATAGTACAGTAAAATATGCCTTACAACTTACAAGAAAGGATTAGAATGGATGATAATGGACATATAAACAGCCACATTTATGTAAAAGAACAGTCACATTGAAAAAAAGCAGAAGAGAAAAGAGAGAGAGAATCAACTATGATCGGATTAATTAATTACCCAGGCTTTTAGGCTCAATTGGTGACTAGTAGTAACTAGTCCAGCACACAAGTATACTGTGCCATAGGGATGAAATCGGAATCGAAATCAAAAACACGGATACGGAAATGGAATCAAATATTATCGAATACAAATACGGAACGAATACAAAACGGAATGAGTACAATAACGAATATTTGCTGAATATAAAAAATACCTCGAATTGAGATTCCTTAATGAAGCAAGAGGTATCGCTTGTTATTTTTCTAAAATAAGATATCAACATCTCCAAAATTGTATCATCAATTTTTTTAGGAGGTCTCACAACCGTATGTGAAAATCGATTTTCATGGACATTCCCCTAAAAGACCCACGTTTTAATATGATTATCCACTTCCTAGTTCCAATACCTCTTACTTCATGCATAGCTTACTTACTATATCACTTGTCTATATCACATGTCAAGTTCTCGTTTTATAGATTGAATTCATTGTATTTCACCTCTTCGAAACTTGTAATATTTGTTTTACACTTAAAATATTTTCAAATACAAGTGTCATAAACTACACAGTAGTAGATTCACTGAACTATATAACTTTGATATCCAGAGTACGTCTCCATCTGATGTCATTTCAATTGTAGATCTGAGATTTTGTAAAAATAGATATGGTATTTTCTAATGAATATTTGGACCCCCATATATGATTCAAACAATAAACTGTCAGCAACAAAGTCGTATATCTTGTCGAGCTCTACAATTTGATATAAAGTTTGTCTTCATCTGTTTTCGTATGACAAAGTTAGGTGTATATATACGTGTTTTCCTTCTAAAAATTAATTGCTACATGAGAATAACCGGAGAAAAATTCCGGATAGTTTCCTACTGTTTTTCGATTTCAACGGATAGTGCCCTTACTGTATTTGCTTTCGTTTCAATCCTAATTCGTTTCTAAATCTAAAAATATCTGGAACTATCCAACCGAACCTATCCAATTCCCAAAAAAAAGTTTTTTTTTCGTTAGTTCATTTTTAAACTAATCAACATCATACAAAAAAAATAGGAGTATATTTTAACATATGGTATTCCCTCTGTCAAAAATAAAATAGAGTATAAATCATCCTTATTTTTCCAGAAAATCAATATTTGAATCTTTTAGTTAATAATTGAACTAAAAAATTGTGTATTTGTTTCTATAAACATATATATAGTATTGCTATATTCATATCTAAAAGTATTTACATATGACATTAATTTCATTGTTTTTCATAATACATTATGAATAAAATTAGTGATCAATGCATAATGTTAGAGACCATCTAAAAACTCTAATGCATCTTATACTTTAGAACGAACTAGTGAGCATTTTGGGAGATTTGCATGAATCTAAGATCAGCCCATACTTTTGCACTGTAGTCATTCATGCTTCTTTGACGCGTTAAACATGTTCCAGAGCTTACCCCAATATTATAGATATGAGTGGTTCGGGAGAATAGCATTTCGTATTCTTTATAAGATCTGCAGTTGCAATGTACTGTAGCTAGGAAGGTCATGTGTAATACCTGCAGTGTTATGCATTGTGATGTTGGAGTAAAGCAAATCAACAGTCTCCTTGGTTCTGCTAACCACATTGAGGAAACATTAATGTCATGGGAAGAGCTTGTCTCTCCGACATGGGAAGAAGCTGAAAACATGGACGCTGAAAACATAGACAAAGTGTTTATAGGTACAAGTTTGTAAGAACTATTTTTTGAAAGAATATTTTCTCCCACATAAATAAATGAAGCAGAAGTTTGATGAAAAGTCTATACATGCAAATCTTACTATAATACATATGCATACATTTGTTTAGTTGTTCAAATTGATCTGGTGAACAGATAATATTGCCATCATATAAAAATTTACATGACTAATTTGGGTTAACAAACCAGCAGTATCATTTTTTTTAAAAAGGGAGAGAGAGAGGTTAACAAGACCCTTGTCTATAAAAGTTATTTTTTAAAAAAGGGAGAGAGAGAGGTTAACAAGACCCTTGTCTATTAAAGTTGAATATAAATGGTGAGTTAGGAATTGTTGCACGGTTATAATTCTTTCACAAATCTGTGGCCACAGACCACAGTAGTGGAGCTAGGAGAGACGTATCCACACTATGATATGGGAGAAAACAAAGCATCCATGTGAAGAATATGTAAATATGGCTGAAAGGGCAATAGCAGAGTTCAAGAAACCACAAACCAGCATTAATGACAGCCGCCTGTGTAGTAAAAGGGTGGCACCTTTAAAAACGTCTTTTTACAGTGTGATGGCATATTCGTCCAGCAACAAGAGCCAGTTGCCAGCTAACAAAGTGATTTGATCTGTGTTTGTGGTCACGCCCGCGTTCCGTTATTCTAATGGGAGTGCATACAAATAGAGGTTTCAGCTATGGTGATGGAGCAAGTTTCAACATGAGTCTTAGAGCCTGTTTGGCACAGCTCCAGCTCCAACTCCACCCCTCCTGGAGCTGGAGCTCAGCCAAACAATTTCAGCTCCACCAAAACTGGGAGTGAAGTTGGGTGGAGCTCTGTCACAAAATATACTAGAGTTGTGGAGCTGGGTTTAGGCAGCTCCACAACTCCACTCCAGATTTAACTCCTGAAGTTATATTTAGGAGTTAGAGCTGTACCAAACAGATTAGTGGCACTGTATGTGCTAGATGCCGATACTCTGAACTCTACAATGGCATCACCTTGGTTAATATGCCTCCTGTCTTCTAGCCTAAAAACAAGGCATCCATTGTAGCATTGGGTTCTAACCTCACAGAATTATTATCTAACAGTAGTGGAACTCTGGAGGTCTGCCATACAATTATCATCCACCTTGCAATTCCTTTGTTTGTTCTCGTTATAGATCTTTTCATGGTACACAGAATTCACATTGCACAGATACTGCTGTCAGAATATATCCAAATAAAGATTCCACCATACTACTCGACGTTGACAGTTAAGAAAATAATAGTACAGCTAGATACAGGACGTAAAATGGAGGCATTACAGGTTCAGGCTGTTCCCCAATTCTTGTCGTACAATCCAGATGCTTTTTTGCTTGCATACATGAGCGTTTCTCTTCACAATGTCAAAAAAAAATGGTACTAGTCCAGATGCTTGTTGTAACGTCCCGCCTTTTCCAGACCGGGCCCGCTTCACAGATCAACATAAGTCTTTTCTGCATATTTTGTCCTCACTCGTGCGCACCCGGGAATAATTTCCCGGCCAGTCACCCATCCCAAGCACGCTTAACCCTGGAGTTCTTTAGAGATCAATTTCTGAAAAAGAAGTTGTAACTTGTTGATATGAGTATTCTATTAATTCTATTAAGTCCTAAGCCGGGATGTCACACTTCTTCCGTGGTCATTGGCACATAACATGCACTTTTGTATCCCAAAATAAAGTTGTGAAATAAATTGGAATAAAAGAACAAGAGTGTAATAGTAGTATGTAGATGCTACAAGGAATAGGCCATGTTTAGTTCCCGCGCAAAAACTTTTCATCCCGTCATATCGAATGTTTGATACATGCATGAAGTATTAAATATAGAAAAAAAACTAATTATACAGATTGCGTGTAAATTGCGAGACAAATCTTTTAAGCCTAGTTGCGCCAAGATTTGACAATGTGGTGCTACAATAAACTCTTGCTAATGATGGATTAATTAGGCTTAATAAGTTCGTCTCGCAGTTTACAGACAGAATCTGTAATTTGTTTTTGTTATTAGACTACATTTAATACTTTAAATGTGTGTCTGTATATCCGATGTGACACGCCAAAACTTTTCACCCCTATAACTAAACATGGCCATATATAGTCAATGAAATGCGGTAAAGCATTATAACTGGTGGAGTTCACCAGCACATCACATCTTGGTAACCATTTTGTTCTCTGGAGATGGTTTCATGGATATTGGAGTGAAATCATTCCATAGGTAGAAAATTTTCTACCTGCGAAAATGATTTGCCAACGTCGGCGAAAATGTTTTTTCTAGTAGTGAAAAGCAGCCGCCAATTGCAAAGGAGAAGGGAAATGTTACGATATTGGCCTACTGCTAGAGAACGGATCCCCCTGATGCGCAGATACAATTAGTCAGTTCAATTTAGACAACATGAAAAATCATATGACTAACTAGAAACATGATTGTTGGCATGCGGAGTTGAGTCAAAAGTCTATAGTTCAAGTCACTAGTTCTTTTACTATTGTGCTCATCTGCGATATATAAAACAAACATATATATACATACTATACAACAATAGGTTGTGTTATACTACCTCCGTTTCAGGTTATAAGACTTTTTGACTTTGGTCAAAATTAAACTGCTTTAAATTTGACTAAGTTTGTAGAAAGAAATAATAACATTTTCAACCCAAGACAAATTTATTAT